TCAATGTGGGTCCTCAATTTTACTGAAACATCAAAAACTGGTTGGTGGTATACCTACCCCTCTGAAACATATGAAAGTCAGTTGGGATCATTATTCCCAATATATGGAAAATAAAAGTCATGTTCCAAACCCTCAACCAGACTCAGTTCCAACATGATTTCCGGCCACATACGCCCTGGCTTCGGCTTCCCAACTGGTTGGGTTGACCTCAGACCTCGGGCGGCCATGACTGGTTGAAGGATCCGCCTGAGATATTTGAGATATGGGGTTCCTGGAACTATGTCATGATCATTGGATTGGTTTTGTTGGGAATTTTTACAGGAAACCATATAGTTTTTACCATCAAATATAGGGGTTTCCTGCAAATTGTCCCTTAAAGCAATCCAATGTCATAACTGTACGCAATGTTATAACTATGTCGCTGCAACTAGGTTATAACTATGTCATACATAACTATGCAATTGGGATATGGATGGATATGGGATATTTTTTATAACCTCAACTGCACCTTCTAAGCAAATGGACATTGTTTTCAATATTTGGGGTTTCAAGGTTACCCGCATGGAAGTATTTTGGAATTTGGATTACGCACATGTGTGTTATATATATATATATCTCTCTCTCTCTGTGTATCTATATATAATTAAACATTATGTTATATCATATTATGTATATGTTTGGTATTTGTCCGTATATCCTTTTTCTTTTTGATTTGTTTTTTTTTTCTCTCTCTCTCTCTCTCTTTAGATGACACATGCATATGATTGTAAATCGTGCATTTGAGCCAGATATTGCCAGACGCAGTGAAGAACAATGAACGTTGCTATACTGCCATATCACCCTGTTTTTTTCCCACCGATGGACTTCCCTATGCTCTGAGAACCCAACGGCCTCATACTTTCACTTCCTTTGCTGCCTGGAAATCCGCTGCGAGGCTGCTGGATGATGTATGTCCTGAAGGAGGAACCAATAAAGATAGGGATGTTTTAGCTGAATGAGATGATATAATTTCTGATATGCATACTAACACTTACAATGCAGTTACATAATCTCACACATATAAGCTGAACTATCTGTACAGTTTAGCTTGAATCATCATGGATATCTCGGTCTCTCTTTCTCAGTAGTTTCTGGGTTTTTCTGGGTCTTTTTGGAGGGTCCAGAATGGATGAGATATCTCCATGCCCTCTGACGTGTCTAAGTTGCAGCATGCCAACCAACATCAATAATATTCAGCGCCATCAACCGGCCATGCATAGATGGCTTTGCCTGAAAATAGGGCGCCCGACAATTGATGGTTGATCATAATTATCGTGATTAAAATTGCCATGAATTCACACATTTTCAGATGCACCCGAGTATCATATTGTTGGTCTTATCCCATTATGTCTTGTATCCCCATGATGTTCCTATACATATCCATTGTGTTTTACTTTGTAACCTCATTGTCCGTATCACATATTGGTGGTTAGCAACTAATCATTAAACCTATGCCATGCCAAATGTCACGCAACAGCCCCACCACACGCAAGACCTCGTGCGCGCAAAGCCGTCGAAAGGCATCGGCCCTTCTGCGCCATGTCCTGCCAAAGTTCCAGATTTGTGTTCATGGCTGGGTCAATAATAACAACAATAATAATAATGTTGAACAAAAATAATGATAATATATATATATACAGAGACTTTATTCATCAATCAGGATTCAACTATGTTCAAATCATCGCTTTTATGTGCCTGGATGTCAGTGGATCAATATGTATATATGTATATAAACCCATATGTGTGTGTGTGTGTGTGTGCGTGTCTTGAGAGACCAACAAAAAAACATAGATCAATGTGTTTTTTATTGCTATAGTTTACTATAGTTTGATGCAGCGATGCAGAGTATTTATAATATTTGTGAAACTCATATTATAGATAGATAGATTACTAATATAGTATTACTAATATAGTATCTATAGTATTTAATATGAAACTCTATTTATAATATAGTATTACTATAGATAGATCATGATTTGTGAAGCTCATCCTGGTTTGTTTTCATCACCATCGGTCTGGTTTGTGGGACCCGTAGCTTGGACTCCTCAGAGATCAAGGGGCCAATTCCAGAAAGGAAAGGACGGCAAGCCTCTGGTAATGATGGCAAGCTATGAACATCATCTATAACTTGTTAAAGTATGACAGATGCGCTAGCAAATTGATCGCCGCAGAAGTAAGAGACGGTCCAAGGCCAATCACTGAAAAATCTTAAAAGGTGTGTTTGTTGGAAAAAAAACATCTATAAATGGAATCTTTTCCACCACGCCATGTTTGATTACCAGAGGGCAACTACTTTGCCATTCAAGATACAGTACAGTATTCAAGATGCTTCAGCAAACATCATCACTACCTTCCATGACTTCCATGGGGAGCTACCAGCTGACTGTTTCAGTCAGTTGTTGACTAAGCTTACCCAAAAGTTCGCGTTCAGTGGACGAATATGACATGTTCTTCCATCAACATGGCTCACAAAAATCAAATAATCCGTAAGTACAACTACATAAACATAGAATACAAGGCACCCAAGAAAGATCGAAAAGGACAACATTATTTATCACATTTTATCTCTATTTGTGAGCCTCGGAGTTTCTTAAAATCTTTATTTTGGTGGATTTATAGTTGTTACTAATGTGGTAAACCCAATTTAAAATTTCATCCCCAAATCATCACCATTTGATGGGTTGTATAAACCATCGTCAGTCATGGTAGGTTGATGGCATTGGGTTTACCAAATGAAATCACAAACCACATTAACTTAACCATTAATCGATGGCCATTTGGGTGTCATTGCACATCATCCCAAATAGGGGTATACCCAGGTATACCCAGTATACCCAGAAATAAAGATCCAGTGTGAATGGTTTATTCTGAGGGCATGTCACATTACTCTTGGTCACTAAATGGAGGTTTCCTAGGTCATGGGGGTACCCCTGTTCATCATCCATTTTTGTCTGGGACTTTCCAATATACCCTCTGATAAACGTTTGATTACATAACTATGGAAAATCACATCAAATCACAATTTTTAATGGGTAAATCATGCTAAAACAATCATAAATGGGCCATTGTCAATAACAAACTGTTGGTTTACCCGAGGCTAAACCATCCAGCTATTGGGGTACCATGACTCACCGGTCAAGTCGTCGCCTCAGGCATCGCGGGCATCGCGGGCGCTGGCCGGTTTGGGGCCGTGGCCGGGGCCTCGGTAGGGATGAAATGCCACCATAGAACAGCACAGAGCCATAGAAATCCCTGGGATTTGGGATGTGTTACCATAGCTGCGATGATTTGAGTCACCAGAAACACGAGGCATTTGATTTGGGCTTCACCACTGCTCAGTTCGTCTTAAACCCGTTTCGGTCAGAGCCTCAATATCTGTATGGAACCCGTTGAGTCAGGGCAGAACCAGTCATCCACTCGCGCCTTTTCAGCCTATATTGTACACTAAGTGTGTTCATGCTTTCTCGAAGCAGCAACTAGCATGTACACAGTCTCATCGTGGGGTGACAGTAGGGGCCTGAGTAGTACTCTCATCACTCGCAGTGTTGTTGAGGATAATGTCACTGCCAATGGGGACGAAAAACTTACTCCCTACGACGGTGGTAGGACTGCCACTTCCAGTGGGAACAATGTCGACTGTGGCACTTCCAGAGGGAACACTGACGAAGTTGCCGCTTCCAACGGGGGTAATCACGATGTTTCCGCTGCCAATGGGAGTAATGACGATGTTGCCGCTGCCAACAGGGATGATAACCACCTCATTGGAGGAAGGGACCAGGTTGCCACTGCCAACGTTAAACACATTGCCACTGTCACTCGGTCCCATATTGCCACCCACGGTGTTACCACTGTTGCTGCTGTCTATGTGAATGTCATTGGACACCGTGATGTTGTTGTTGTCGCCCTCGATGGTGACAGTTCGAGTGCACGGGTCTTCGTGTTCGCTCTTGCTGTCACGATGCGAAGGGCGTCTCCGCCCCAGATTGGCCTTCCAGTCCCCAGCTGACGGGATGGACAAATCTCGGGACAGGAGGCCCAGGTGACGAAAAACATCTTGTAGGACTTGACACGTGTTCACGTCAAAAGTCTCATCCAAGGCGCGACCTGAAAAGGCAGCCTCCACACCACGAGTGCAAACCAATTGCTTCGGCTCATTCTTACAACTTTTGATCATGATGCTCTTGGCTTCTGCCACGCTGGGACATTGTTCGCCACAACTGCACAAGTCCTGTGTCGGACTCACGAGCTGCAACAAGGCAGTCGTTTCGGACTCAAGTTTCGCCATGGCAAAGGAGAGCAAGGCCATGACCAGCAGCGCCATGGCATTCGGATACGAAGAAACACGGTTCGATTTTTGGCTTGTCTTGGGTCGCAAGGGTCCCCCTAGTTGTGCAGCGTCCATGAATGGGTACCTTCGAAACCACCCACATGGATCGTTTTCTATACCGCACATAGGCGAGCCCTTCACTAACTGATATACATAAAGATCTGCGAATTTCTGAATCATCTACATGAGGGGTTTCTTAAGTCAGGGATCCCCAAGTCACCAGCCAATTTCGGATGGCAACGTCGATTTCTTAAAAGGCACGAAAACATCAGCCAATTCACATTGCTTAGGGATGGTTAGGGTCGAATCCATAGGGGTTCACTCTGGGCTGAGTACGCATGAATCGAATATGGCGTGCCAAAAAAACTCCATTGATATCCATCTAGTTCGAGGGTTTTCCTATTTTTTGGACATGTTAAGACCATCACATTTAGTTCAGAGATTCCCCAGCGAACCACATTTACCAAAGGGTCATCCTGGAGGTTGATTTTTGGATTTTCCATGATTTTCCATCATATATATAATATATATATATAATCTCATAGGATCCATGTATCGTATATATGCTAACATTGGGGGTATATTGATGGTAAATGTTACCATATATAGTATACATGGATCCTATGGGTATATATATATATAACCATCCAGGATCACAACCTGATCCACCCATCTAAGCGCCAGCACTGGACAGCGGGTCACCTTCCGTTTGCCCGAGCTGCTCCTGCGCTGCTGCGCTAGGCCCAGCGGGCCATTGCTGACCAAGAGCTACCCTCCAAATACGGATTTAATGCGGGATTTAATGGAACTTACCCTCCAGCAAACAAACATCGCTATGGAAAAAGGATGAACATGTACCATCTAGAGATGTTTTTTGCTCACAAGAATCACCCATTAATGACTTTCCATGGCTGTTAAATCACCATTTTAGGTTCATGGACTATTTCGTTAAATCCAGGGGTCATCTGGTCATTTAACATATTCAAACTTCATTCTGATCCGGGCATCCAGGCCCCCCCTGAGCACCCAAACGAGGTACAAAAGGCCATGAACGCTGAGAGGGCGATGACTATACTCACCAGACCTGGCAACGACGTCACACGATTTACGATACTAACCCCCTAATTAAAAATAGAAAGGGAACTTCCCACTAGAATGTAGTGATAAATATAGTGAGAAATGATTGGTAATTCACGTGTCTATCTTTTTGTTTCTTTTTGGGGGTTGCTATGAAGATGTTTTGAAGGTAAAGCTGCAGGGAACATCAGGAAACCTGACATCATTAGCCAATCGATGGTTTTTTGTGTAAGCTATAGCTTTCACAGGGCGAATATATCATAATTCGCCCAAGCCTCTGAACTATGTGAATAATTGATACATGTATTATATGTTAATTTATATATATATATGATTATATAATATGTATATTATCAAAATCCATGAGGTTCCATGGTTTCAAAGGTTTTGAAGTGTGACATAGCTTGACGCATTGAGCTAAGAAAGCCCTTTTAACAGCCCCAGCGCCCAGCGTCGCCTATGACCAGAATGGCAGGGTCCAACACAGCTGAGGCACGGGTCACGGGGGCTGGGCTGCTACCCTGAGGGTTTCCCCCCCTAGCTGCATAACATCACCTACCCTCTGGTGAACTAACATAGCAATGGAAAATCACCATTCTTAATGGGAAAATCCACTATAAATAGCCATTTTCCATTGCTATGTTAGTTCACCAGAGGGTATCGGACCACTTGGCTGACAGTGATCTTGATCATTTCACCAATTCTCGTTGGAGACCTGCTCCCCATGAGGGCTGTCATGCAGTACCTCTCAACCCTGGATGATTGATGCCCAGCTGTTTGAAAAGGGGGGTGCCAAATGCAGAGAGTTCACATCTTAAACGGTATTGGCCAAAAAAAAGGTACGATGTCGGTATAGAATTATCCAACATTGGATGAGATCGGCCATCACAGCTGGTACATCCTGAAAAGTGGTACAGCCAACACAAGAACATACAAGAACCTGATTTTCAGGAATTGGAGAACTCATCTTTCAGATTTTTCAAGTCCATCTCTGAAAGCTCATCCCCGTAGGACAAACAAAAACCAAGACCCTCCCGGAGAAAAATGGAGTATAATGGGAGTAATATATACCCATTCTTTTGGGACGTTTACCAATTTTTTATGGCTACTTGGAGGGTCTAAGAACATGGAAGCTGCACATTTCCACAATGCGAGGCCCCCCAGGTGTAAGTTTGTTTATAGACCCAATTCACTATACCATTTGGTAAACTAATGTAAACTGACATAACTATGGAAAAGCACTACTTTTAATAGATAATGAACTATAAATGAATCAACAAGCTAAATGAGCAATGTTCAATAGCAAACTGCTAGTTTACCGGAGGGTAGTCACATCATATAACACAATCCATTAATCATCCATTTAAAAAAAAGATGTTCCATTCTAGGATTCTAAACCAACATTTTTACCAACCAAATGCGCGAATTATTGGGGATACCATGGGATCCCCCATAAACATGGGGAAACCCCATACTTTTTGTATCTCTCCCCCAAGATACCCCAAGTTCCTCCTACCCGACGTTGTCCGATGACTCCGAGGTTCCAGGCTGTTGCGAGTGACCGTGCCACTGGTCTGCAAGAGTCCCAGGGATTTAGTGAGGTTCAAACGCCACCAGCGTCCACCTGGCATTTCTGAAACACCAAAGGGGGGTATGTACTATGTAACTTCAAGGATAGGGGGATAAAGTTGGATATAGTGGGATAAAAGTGGTATATAATATAAAGTGGGATATAGTGGGATAAAGTGGGATAAAGTGGGATAAAGTGGTATATAGTGGGATAAAGTGGGATATAGTGGGATAAAGTGGGATATAGTGGGATAAAGTGGGATAAAGTGGGATAAAGTGGGATATAGTGGGATATCATATTTACTATTATTCTACCATAGAAATTCGAAGGATAGTGGGATATAGTGGGGGATTTTGCTGCGCTGTAAGCAACAATGGACGCTGTCACAACGGTCACCAGACTCTTCTTGCTCCTCCACAAGATCCTACTGATAAAAATGTGTATATATATATATATATATAAGCGCTAGCCAGCACAAGGAAGGGGGCGATGATAGGACAAGTTTTATGATGACTGATTGACCTCAACTATGCGGATTTTTGTTTCACTTGGCCAATGGAATTGATGGAATCTGCCCGCGCACTGAGCTCCCACCATGTTGTGCTGTCCTTTCCACCGGCGCCTGGAATTTGGCGCTAATCGAAGGTGGCAGTGGCAGTGGGATATCCACATCTTTCATGGGAAGATCACCCTTGGAATGGAAATCAATGAACATGACATGAACTGCAATGAGAGTACCGAAGGGTGTGCAGTGCATCTTTGGGTCATTCTAAAATATTCAAAGGGTTGAAACCTTAAAATTGCACTCAACACATATGATCTCAAAAAAAGGAAGGACATAACAAGCATGAAAGACTCAGAAATTTGAATATGCAATGGTCATGTTTACTTCATGTGCTGGTTTCACCCATCGAATCAGCTTTGCATTTGAAAACCTGGCAGCAAACTCATGGAGTTTGCCCCATGATTTTTCATCTAAGTCAACAATTGGTGGTTCTCTAAAATAGGTCTACTCCCAAATCATTCAACATTACCCTCTGGTATTCAAACGTGGCAATGGAAAATCCTCTGTAAATGGAGGATGTCCAATTCCTATGTTTGATTACTGGAGGGTAGATCATATTTTAGTACCCATAGGATCCATGTATGGTATATATGCTAACATTTGGGGTATATTGATGGTAAATGTTACCATATATGGCATACATGGATCCTATGGGGTATTGAATTCCATTGTTTTGGGTATCTCATGGTATCCCCGGTATCCCAGGACACCTCCAATTCTCAAAGCCCGGACTGGTGGTTTCACCCGATGTCCATCCCATTTGTTGAGCGGATGGAAGGTTTATATACTATGTTTGAATATAATATAATATATATATATGTATATATAATGTAAAATGTAAACATGAACAATTAAGAATAAACAATTCAGAGTGATACAATGATATCTTATAATCTTGCAACTATGTCAAATCAAAAACCACATTCATATCGGTCCGAGAAGCCATGTTATGAATTATATTGAATGATGATGTGCACAATGCAAACCCAAAAATAATATATCAGTAGAATCCTATACTAAACATATCGTGGGAAAAAACCATGCTCTATCATTTTCCATCCTTTTTTGAAGGTGTCAAAAAAGCATTGACCTCCCTTGGCCCTGACCTCATCCTCGGAAACGGGGGGCCTTCCCTGGGATCACCGAAGTCAATGTTGAGTGGAAACTCGAATCTTCCAAGCCATATTTCGCTAAAACTGATGTTGATTTGGGGGAAATTACTGGGATAATGACTGGGATTATGAAATGAGATATATAATTAGAATTAATTAGATACAAATTCTGAATGCTATGGGATACTTAATTAGTGAATATCAAACACTACCCCCCAGAAACCCAGAAACCATGGTGTTTCCTGGGGATGGAATTTGGGACCATAGAATGGAGGTCCTCAGACTCCTCAGGACCTTTATATAGATCATGTTAGATCAACCACCATGCCATATATATATATATACCATACAGACACACATATTATGTATATGTATAGGTAATTATCGTACATATTATTTTTTGCGTCTCCTGCACGCCCCGGTGTAAGGGGACCGAATTACTGCTAAGTCCATGGTCCATCCATTGGCGAAAAGGAAGAAGGTGATCGATCTATGACTTGTGGATGTTCTATATTTTCAATACATCTCTGTCAGGTTGCTGTTGGCTGGCCATGTCTGCTATAATTACTGTATTGAAAACATGGCCCAAACATATTCTCCCACGAATTATGAAGAACCTCCTGTTTTACCGCTCTGTGTCTTTGTGAACAGTGGATTCTGCATCTCTACAAGTTCACCGATTCCCGGGCTGCTTCATGGAAGGTGGATCTCGCAGTCAGTCAGCGCATGACGTCGACACCACCAAGTTCCGCATTCCCAGACTCCTTCCTTCCTTTTGGCATCAGGAAGGGGGTTGTAGTCATAGTCCTGCAGCTCCCAGGGCTTGTGTCGAAATCCTCCCCCCCGGGTCATATTTTTAATAAAACCCTGGACACCTCGGATTGGGTGTGGGATGAAATCACTTATTAGACCAATTGGGATGTCCCACATTAGGGAGATGGGATTTTCCAATGATGTAGCTGATCTACCTGGAAAACTTCGGGGCATCTCATCATTTCCAGGCCTCCCCTTTGGGATGAAGATACCCGCTTTGTTGGATGGGCTTATAAGACAACTTACCCCCTCAGGTAATCAAACATGGCAATGGGGAAACACAAAACACATTATAAGTTATATAAAAGTTATAAGAGGTGATTTTCCCATTGAACTGCCTATTTACAAGGGATTTCTCATTACCAAAGGGTACAGTTGGGGGGTCCTCTTAACACCAGGTGAAGTTTTAGCCCAGTCCTCCAAAGTCACACGTATCGCACCAGGTCGTTGCGTCAATGCAAACTTCCTGACTGACCGGGTCGAGCTTCAGGTTGTTTGGATGACTCAGGTTTGCTCCCAACACCACAGGTACGAGGAGGGGTACATTGGCTAAATATAGTGGCAAAATTTGACTTATCCGATAACTCCCTATTACTCAAACTTACACGCCCCCCACTACATGGTAAACACGGTGATCTATTTTGTTTTTATTAGTAGGGGGTATTTTGTATTAGGCTGCCCCTAGTATTCCAATGAAAACCCTAATAATAAAGATAAACAAACTCGATTTCAATTTTGATTAAACCCCTTATTAACATCTATATAAAATATGGCCAAAAACTGGATTTCGAAGCTTTCCCCTAATATTCAAATGAAAACCTTAATAAAACATAATAAATAGATCTTGTGAGATGGGACCCTAATTAAAAAAAACTCCAGGTACAATATGGTACCATCATATATATTTCTTAGTTTTATTAATAGGGGGTTGAACCCACTGTTTCACCATCCTGTTCTCCTATTGATTCTCAATTACCACAATTGAGAATCCAATTGTAACTAACAAAAAAAAACGGAAGTGCCAAACCAATCCCTATTTTTTTTTTGGTGGAGTTCTAGTAATAGGAAGAAGGGATTATTTTCCCTCCTTGTGACTATCATTTACCATCATTTACCTATGGACCTATGGTGTGCTGGAGCAACCCTGTGACTGGGATGTTTTTTTGGGGGGTTCTGCGGAAGTGTGCATCCCTACAACTAAAAGATACCAAAGGGAAATTAGCAATAGAGCAACCAATGTAGCAATGTAGCTGTGCGACGATCCTTCAAATGTCAAGACAGTTTACAGAATTTTTATCAGAATTCGCCAGTGTCAGCATTGAAAAAAGGGAGCAATGAATCAACATGGACTACCCGTGACTACCCGTTTTGCATGGGAATGATGTTTATCAAATCATCAAAATCTCAAAATCTGCTCTCGTTGGGTGACCAAGTCTCTGCACCTCGTGTTGCCATGGATGCGCCACTAGCTTCAACACGCTAGGCTTTCGGTCCATCAAGCCTTGCAGAAAGTCTTGGAACCAGCTGGGCTGCTCGCCATCAGCCCAGCGGAGTGAAACAAACCACATCTGCCAGTCTAAACCTTGCTGAGCCATTGGGCCATTGGGTCATGTGGCTGTGGGAAAAAAGGGGGGTGCGATATTTTGACTATATATGACTCTAACTATCACTATGTAGCCTATAACATCTTGTAATTAATATCTTGTAACTATAACTTTAACATAGTATAACTATAACTTGATATACTGCAAGACCTGCAAGTGATCTGAAACTATTGATATTGTCGGATATCAACCTGCCCAGGGATCCCCTGGTCTACCCCACATCTGCCACAGCACGAGGCATGTGATTCAGAAGCACTGGGGGAGCGCGATTCAAAGGTCCCGGTTTGAAGGGCAACGCCAACTCCACCTCAAGTCGATGCCAGTCTCGGGATGCTAACAGGAAAAGAAGGCCGTGGGTTTTCTGGGTTTCTCCAAAAAAGAGAAGGACCTACTTTTATGGCAGGATTTTCCAGAGTCTCCAGATCTATGTTGTAATTTATTGTAATTTACTGATGGAGGGTATCTTTGGAAGGTAACGATGCAGATGGAACAGAAAGAATGGGGGATCACGTGCATGTCTCAGTAGCACATGAACAACCAAAACCTCTATGCCTACGCTGTTTCAGTTCGGCATTTGCTTCAACTATACATGTGTGCCAACTTTTTTATGAGTTCTTTACGCTGGAATTTTGCATAAACAAGGATTGGTTGCGTTTGTAAATTGTTTATTATTCTGGTCATTCGCAGTTTCCTAAACACAATTCATTCTGGAGAGACTCCATAGGTTTGAATACTCGTCTCAAACAGTTTCAAAAGCGTGCATCCCACTTAGCAACTTGATGAATCTTTGTTTACCCCACTTATAAGATGATTAACCGTTCTTAGAACATTATCCGGGCCAGGGTAATCTATTTAAGTACTGCGATGATCTGCGATGTATATCCACATTCTCTCTCTCTCTCTCTCTCTCCATCGCCCTCTACATCCCCATTACTATTGTTGTTGAATATTCCAAGGATATCCAAATTTAATGATGAAGTGAAATCCTCCCATTAAAAAAAAAACTTCAGGAAAAAAACATCCAGATTCTCATGGGACATTCCACCAACTAAGAACATAACATACGACAAAAACAGAAAACAACATGAAAAAAAACAGCATCAACAAATCCATCAAAAGTCATGATCCATTAAAAATCCATCCAAAATCCTCCATTTTTCTGGAACAGTTCCGCCCAAAACAACCGTCCCGGACTGCCAGAGGGACCCAAAACTCCTCGCCCGCGGAAACCGCCAGGCCGTCCCTCACGGCGCGCTGCGCCAGATCTGGAGGGAGGCGGTGCAGCTCGCGCAGGACCACCTCGTCTCGGCTGGTGGTCCTTGGCGATTCGCAATGGGGAAAACCATGGGGAAACCATGGGAAAAACAATGGGAACTATGGGTTTTCCACGGACTTTTTGGTTTTGGTCGTGGTGGTTGTTGTTGCCGCTGTTGTTGTTGTTGCTGCTGCTGCTGTTGTTGTTGCAATGATCATTCAAAAAAACGGGAGGGAAGATGGTGCAGTTGAAGGTAAACTGGGAAGGTACTAATGGGTTGAACAACTCGAAACATCATATGCGTTCCCTGCAACTATATTGGCATCTAAATATGGTGAACGATGATTCTGCCTTGGGTAGGGGTCTGGTTTCACGGCTACTGAAGTGGCTTTTTGAGGTGGTTCTTGCCAGGCTATGGACTGATCAGAATGACGTCCCAAATTCCCTTCGGTGCTAGAGAACCAAGTTGTTACTCTCTTCATCCTCCACCCCGAGTACAGGGACAACATATACATGGTACCCTGCATTTCCCCCAAATAAAATGTCACTTCCCCCTTAGACTTTGTATAATTTGTTTAGTACGTATCCCCATCTGTTGCATCAATTCTTAGATTTTGTGATGATTGTGCATCCCCGTCTACATCATCTATGGTTAAAAAACCTATCTATCTATCTATCTATCTGTCCCAAAAACCACCAAACAGAAACACATCCATAGCCCTCTCATCCGAGCATCATCCGTGCAAAGAGCCCGTACCTCCCAGCCAGTCCCAGTGCACGGAGTCTCTCTTCGATCCTGCGACACCAACCTTCAGGTGCTTTGGGCGCGCAGATCCTGCGCAGAAACTGAGAAGTGCTGGGAGAAAGTCACCCTTTCAGATGTGACGCTTGGTGAACACGCAGAACAAAACAATGTCATGGCCAGAACCAGAAGTATCTGATATCCCTCTCCATCGCCATCTCCTGTATGAGTATATACTTGTTTTTTGTATGTTTTTTGTTTATGTATGATATGAGTTCGGTTTCCAATTCTTAATTCACCATCTGGTTATTTAAGATTTTGCCATGGAAAATCACCATTTTTTAATAGGTAAACCATCTATAAATGGGCCATGGCTTCCATGGCTATGTTAAATAACCAGAGGGTAACACACTCTCTCTCCATTGCCTCCATCGCCAGTCCTGTGGATGGCAGAGACAGTGGATGCAGTGTACAGTGCCCAGGCGGCAGTCACCAGCGCCACGAGCAGTCCGTCCCAAAGGCACCTTTTTTGGGCGACGGACTGGTGGTTAACGTAGCTGGGATCAAAGGGGATCAATTCGGAATGATGGATTAGATTTCAAAAGTAAAATGTTTTTCTTTGAGAAAAACAGCTCCAAATCATATCAAGTCATCAAACCAAAATATGAAAACATCGATAACCACACACACACATCTATAATATATATATATATTATATTGTATATATATTTATATTTATATTATATTATATTATATTATATTATATATTTATATTATATATTTATATTTATACTATATTATATTATATTATATTATATATTATTATATTATATTATATTATATTATATTTTATTATATTATATTATATTATATTTTATTATATTATATTATATATTTATATTATATTAAATATTATATATTATATATTATATATAATATTATATTCTACTATATTATATTATATGATAAATGTGTATTTAATAATAATCTATAAAGTATGTTAGTATCATATATAACTTCCCCTCCACCTTCAATTTCTCCACCCAAAAAGGTGCTCCAAAGCACCACGGCCACAGCATCCCCGTGGGCGCGTCCGCAAGTGGGTGGAGGCGGCGCGCCAGAGGAGTCAGCTGTTGATCGTCCAGGAGGGAAGCTGATAGGATGCAGGTGAGGAGGTTGAAAAATCCTGGATTTCACCAACGAAATGACCCGAAACAAAAAAAAACTGGTTGTCAAAAAACCACCCCAAGTATCCCAAGATCATGAAAAGTCATGTCATATCCGAAGCCAAACTTGTGAAATTCAAAAGAAGTAGAAGATTTGATAAATGATGTTACCATGGCTTCCCATCAAATCATGTTGCTGGGGAGTACCATGAAGTACCGTATAATGAATGCTGGGGGACAAATGAAAACCATAGTTATCGGTTATCTATAAACATAAACCAAAGTGTGGAATACAGCCATGGGGAAACCTCTTTGGAACTGATGTACAAATCGTGGGCTTTCCACATCTCTGTTAGCTTACATGGGATAATCCTGCGATACTGGGAAAATGGTTGGAAAACTCTATGGAAAACTCGGAAAATGGAATTGATTGGAAAATCTTGGCATTGATGGGAAGTGACTTTTGGAAAGGTGAATAAGGTGAATGCTCCTGGATTTTGCTTCTGAAACCAGCAGAAATCATGAAGAATCGGAATCCGATGTCCTATAGTCCTATACAGACAAACTGGGAAGATTGGGTTTTTACGGTTTTTGAGAAGAGAAAACCCATCGCAGTCAGTCACATCAAATTGGGCTCATCCAAAAATACCATTCTGAAGTAGATGCTTAGAGCCCCGGTTAAAAACATACATTGAAACATTTTTTCAACCAGGAAGGCTCCATCCAGGAATGATATCTCTAGAAAAATCCCTATGAAATGATATAGAATCCATCCGAGAATCCGTAGTTGCCAGACACAACAATGCCCAGCATCAAGCCACACCACAGCCTGGCACTGCAGAAAGTGCCAACGGCTGGGTGAACTTCCAAGGGCCTTCGATACCCTGCCAAGAAAAAGTTTGCAACATGTGAATGTAAGTTACGTAAGTATCTAATTAACTATTTACCTAGGTATATATATATATATGTATATAGACATATGTATAATATAGTATAATAATGTATAATAGATATCAGATATACATATCCCCATTGCAGATGAGGGTTTCTACCAACAAGCCGGGGGGTGATGCAAAGATCAATGGGGATCTTTCGGTTAAGTTGCAGAGGTGATCTCCGAGTGGCAGGCAGCAAGCAGCACGGGCCCAAGGGCAGCCGCTGAGCGCCAATATAGACAAAGGGCCTTCCGCCTCAATGGGTCCCTGACGATTTTTCATTGGGAAGGCTCCCAGCTAGTGATACCCTTTGGTAAATTAACATAGACCCTGCCAGATAGGGGTTGGAAGACTAGTTTCCACTATCAATTAGTCATTTTCAGGGTCTATGTTAATTTACCAGAGGGTAATTTCATATAATTTGCTCATGGTACCCCAAGACAGCCTTGGGGTTCATGAAAATCCTGGGTCAACTATTGTTGGTATCATGGTCTTAGATGAGGCCCTTCAAGAAAATCCCATGCTTTTCCAGTTTTCCCTAGGCATGGCTTATTTTTTGAACCCGAAAAATGGAAGGCTTCATGCTCCAAACCCTGCAAGGATCTGACCAAGGTTGAGCAAAACGATAACCGTTTCATGCTTTCGGTAGGAGTTCCATGGTCAACCCCTCCAGCCACCTGTTTTTTCTTCTTGGACATTGTCATGGTGGGTTATGATTTTCTGTGTTCTGCAGGAAGCGATCAGCTTATCATGGCTTATTATAAACTACCATTAAAATTTTAATTTGGCCCACAAAAATACAATCTTGGTGAAAATAAGATGATGGAAATAGCCTCATATCCTATGGTTCCTGGGTATATCTAGATGATAATGAGATGATGAATGGTATGTTTTGGGAGCCCCATTTTCACCAACCGTTTCGGATCCAGGTGGCCCACAGGGTCATCAAGCCCTGCACATTGGAGACCCGTCTTTCCCCGCTCCAGCGGTGTAGCGGCCGTGCCAGGGGCTTGGGAAGGCAGGTGGTACGGTGGTGGTGCGCCATGGCGCTACCGAAGTTCCACCTGAGCCGTGAAGAAAACACGTCAAGACACGCCTGTCTCTTATTGGATTTTCGCCTATGTTCGCTGGAACTTCACATATCATATATATCATCAATTACCCTGGGGTAAACTTACAGTTCGATGTGGACTGGAGTTTACCCACCATTTGTAGATCCATTTTCCAAACGGGTGTCACGGTTTCATCATGCGTTTCCACAAAGCTTTCTTCGTTTTCCATAAGGTTTCACTGTCGAAGGTTTTTTCCAGATGGAGATTCACCGAACTGGTGCTGTCCACTTTTATTGATGCTGATTGAAGCTTGTACATGTATATTGCATATATGTATAGAATTAAATGATTGAATAAATAAATTTAGATATGTGTATGTACGTATGTACCTAAATATATGACAATATATGTATGTATTTGCGTAGTACTATTTTTTTTCTCTCTATCTCTCTCTCTCTCTCGCTTATGTTTATTGATTTGTTTGCCCAGAAATTTTGAGTTTCCGCCATGCCATCAATGGGGGAAACTCAAGAGATGGTTTTCCTGCAATTTTCCGTTGACCGTTTGACCGTTTGCTTCTTGGTCTTTTAGCCAATCAAGGTGATTTGGATGCGTCTACATAAAAGCGATGAATACCTTCTTGGAGGAGACCCTCAAATGAAAGGAATCCTTTCATAAGCAAATATCACATTAGATGGGGTATGCTCCTGGGGTCTTTTGGACTTAGAGTCCATCATTCCATGATTCAATCAATGTTTCTGGGTTGGAAATTGCACACATCTTTCGCTGAATCAATGAACGTAGACCCTCCAAGTACCCAAGAAATATTGGTAGGAGTTCAAACTAATGCGTATATTACCTCATTTTTTTGGGGTACTTGCAGGGTCTATAGAAAGTTGATTCTTAGGGACGAAGTCGCTGGGGATAGTGGGCTACATGTCTATTCAGATACCATGGAGATGTGCTATCAGCAATCAATGCGTTTACACCCTCAAAACTGCTAAACAAGGCCTCGTCCGGATTCAAGAAAAACAAGAAAGCAATCGTGTGTTACCTATCTGCCCCCTTTTGCTCAAGACCATCTTCCCCTCGTTGCAGGGTATATAGCAGAAGGAGAATCTTCAAAAGAAGGGATGCCATGACGATATGACCATTAACCCCCCACAAGGGCTTTTGAGAGATCGAATGGGAGATCGAATGGGGGATTACTGTACTTACCTTTGTCACATATGATTCACATGAT